CTTCATCAAAGCGAGGACAGGAGAGGCAAATTTGAATGGAGATGGCGCAAAGTCAAAGAAATAGGAAGCGAGGGAATGCGCTAAAGGCATTTTTGGCATTTTCAAGAGTCTAGAGCTTGGTGGATCGCACTTTGAAAACTTCGGAGGGTCTAGAACAGACCTAGATTGAAAATTTGGCACTTATAGAATTTTTAAAAAGTTACAAAAATCCAAACTTTGAGAAATTTTTGGGCTCAAAGGGATTTTGAAAGCTGGGATGCAACAATTCTGAATTGGTAACTATGGGAATGGATGAATCAGCTTAAAAATGTCGTATAATAAAACTTTAGCAGCCGATGTTTTAATAAAAAAATATTTAAAATTAGATTTTTGGGTCCTAGAACCGTTTTTGGTGCTTTTCATGAACTTTAAAAATCAGAAATTCAGAAATTCAGAAATTCAGAAATTCAGAAATTCAGAAATTCAGAAATTCAGAAATTCAGAAATTCAGAAATTCAGAAATTCAGAAATTCAGAAATTCAGAAATTCAGAAATTCAGAAATTCAGAAATTCAGAAATTCAGAAATTCAGAAATTCAGAAATTCAGAAATTCACAAAATCAGAAATTCAGAAATTCAGAAATTCAGAAATTCAGAAATTCAGAAATTCAGAAATTCAGAAATTCCAGGAAATTCAGAAATTCAGAAATTCAGAAATTCAGAAATTCAGAAATTCAAAAATTCAGAAATTCAAAAATTCAGAAATTCAGAAATTCAGAAATTCAGAAATTCAGAAATTCCAGAAATTCCAGGAAATTTAGAAATTCAGAAATTCAGAAATTCAGAAATTCAGAAATTCAGAAATTCAGAAATTCAGAAATTCAGAAATTCAGAAATTCAGAAATTCAGAAATTCAGAAATTCAGAAATTCAGAAATTCAGAAATTCAGAAATTCAGATATTCAGATATTCAGAAATTCAGAAATTCAAAATTCAGAAATTCCAGAAATTCCAGGAAATTTAGAAATTCCAGAAATTCCAGGAAATTCAGAAATTCAGAAATTCAGAAATTCAGAAATTCAGAAATTCAGAAATTCAGAAATTCAGAAATTCAGAAATTCAGAAATTCAGAAATTCAGAAATTCAGATATTCAGATATTCAGAAATTCAGAAATTCAGAAATTCAGAAATTCAGAAATTCAGAAATTCAGAAATTCAGAAATTCAGAAATTCAGAAATTCAGAAATTCAGAAATTCAGAAATTCAGAAATTCAGAAATTCAGAAATTCAGAAATTCAGAAATTCCAGGAAATTCAGAAATTCAGAAATTCCAGGAAATTCAGAAATTCAGAAATTCAGAAATTCCAGGAAA